GATTTAATTAATAATTCTTTTAATTGTAAAAATGCTTGTTGTTGTGCATCACCCCAAACAAATTGTCTTCGATTTGGTTTGGTCAAATTTGTTACTCGATGGATGGGTGCTGCAACTGTAGCGAATTGAGGAATAAATTTTCGGTACCATGAAATAGAACCCAGGAACTCATTTGCTTCTGCTAATTTAGAAGGTTCCCTCAATTTAATAATTGCTTGAATTTTTTCATTATTAGGTTTAACACCAAATTCAGATATCGTATGAGATAGATAATCAATATGTTGATGAAAAATATTACATTTGACCGGATTAAGTTGAAAATTATGTTTTCATAAAGCAGCTAATACTTGTGCAAGATGATTGAGATGTTCTTCAAATGAACGAGAATACACCACGATATCATCAATATAAACCAATGAAAATTGTCGACATGTAGATAATATATCGGTCATTACTCGTTGAAAAGATGGTGGGCTATTTTTTAATCCTTGAGTTAAAACATTCCATTCATAAAGACCTTCAGTGGTGATAAATGCAGTCTTATGTTTATCTTCTTCTTCAATTGGAATTTGCCAAAACCCACTTTTCATGTCGAGTTTCGAAAAGAATTTATAACCATCACCTAATATTTGGATTGCTTGTTCCAGATTGGGTAATGGATGATTATCTTTAATTGTAATATTGTTTAACTTCTTATAGTCTACTACCATTCGCCAAGTACCATCATGTTTGGGTACAAGTAATGCAGGTGCTGCACAAAGGTGAATAAGATGGGCGAATTAAACCAAAATGTAATAATTCTTGTGTTATCTTGTACATTTCTTCTTGTTTACTTGGAGTAGTATAAAATGGTTTAGATGTTGGTGGAGGATGATCGAGAGTTTTTATTGCGTGTGGTTTCACACCAATTGCAATTGAAGGTTTATTAGTATCAAATAATTTTTCATGTTGATTGAGGATGGTTCTACACTCTAAAAAAAAAAAACGTTTTCTCAGAAACCGAAACCCCTTCAGAAACCGTTTCCGAAACCCTTGAACGTATCCGGGAAGGTTTCCGGACTCATGTTAAGTTTCTGAAAATACCTTCAGGGTTTCCGAGTATCCGGAAACCTATGAGTTTTCGAAATATAGGTCCGGAAACCCTCAATCGTATTCTCAGAAACCCTAGTGCTCTTTTTGAAAACCGAAAGTTATCCCCGGAAACCTTCTCTGATTTAAAAACCTTCTCGAAAACCTTTGCGTTTCTGATATTTTTTTATCGAAAACCTTTTTGGATTTCCGAGCATCGAAAACGGTGGAAGCGTTTTCGAAAAATTGAGCATGGTTTCCGAACATCTATTGGAAACCCTTCAGGGTTTTCGAATTTTCAGAGAATCCTTGCGTTTCCGAAAAAAGCTCCGGAAACCTATCCAGTATTCTCAAACATAGAAATAGCATTCGGATGTCTTCTTTTTGATTCTAATGTTACGATCGCTATTTTAGAAGTCTAGGAATTGCACGACATGCATGATATAAACCTTATTCAATTTATGTGGAATTGTTGTGTAAAAGCATTAGAACTCTGAGAATTCAAAAGAAAATACATTGTTCCTGAGAAAATTTCGACTTGTTATTACATCTTTCAATACCTAAAAACTTGAATGGATTACAACAAATTTCAATGTGGGGATCGAAGAGCTGCATTAAATTGCCAGATTAATCAAAGAATGCCGTCTTTCTCCTTCTTCATTCATTTGTGTTTCATCCAAGTACAGGCATTATCATCCTTATCAACAGATTACAACAGAATATAGTGCAAGTTTGAGCCGTTTGAGGATCCTTTCAACCGATTTATACAGAAAATTGATTGGAGAGGAGTGATGGAAAACATGAAGAAATCTTCATTTGCGAGAGAATGTAACACAAATACTAGATGTCTCGGAGTGTTTGCAACATAATTTATTCTCCATATATCTCCACAAATGTAAATGATAAAATCTTAAATTTTTTCAAATTATGCGTCGTGATATTCTGTACGATAGTCAAAACAAAAGATCTTCTTGGTTTGTGCTAATAGATTTGGAGTAAGCCAAAAGAAAAGATGTCTCAGATGTGATAGTTTCTCACTTTCATACCGATTTGAGCACTTCAAAAAAAAACATAGTTACTATCTAAATCAAATCATATGTACAAAAACTCATTTCTGAATACCATCATCTCAATAAAATGAGCATTTTCAGTTCGAAAATAGTCGGAAAGAATGAAAGGTCTGCGAAATGTAATTGTTGTTTAGCTAAAAGAAAAATCAAATTCTGGACAGTGAGAAACTATAAATTCCCATACACCTTTCCTTTTAGCTCTCTTCAAACTTATTAGCACAAGTTACAAGAATCTCTGCGTTCACCTATTAGAAAGAATGCCATGACCTATCGTTTCAAAAACAAGTTGACATTTTCATGAATTATCTGTTTGAAGACATAAACAAAATAAAATATATTGGAAGCGTTCTGAGAAAAACGGTAGATATGTATTTCTTCATACCGCAAGATACAGTTTTTTCCAACTGATCCGGTAAATAACGCGAAAAAAAAAGCGAACACGAGAATTGCAGTTCACGGGTAACAAAACTGAAGACACCAACATTCTGCCTTCGACAGCAATACGGAAACCAGAAGTCAGACTGCATTAAAGACTTTGACTTCAATACACAAAAAGCTTTCATCACTATAGCAATCCACTTGAGTTGGTGACTTTGAGTTCGACAGGACATAAGATCTCATGACATTCACTAACTTCATGGCGATGGCTTTGAGAGACATGAAAACTTGAAATCTTTAACTGACTTCATGACGATCGCTTTGAGAGATGTCAAGACTCTAACAAACAAGACTGACTTTACGACTCTTACTCAAAAAAACATACAGACTCGATGACTAATACTGACTTTGTGATTATGACTTTTAGATACAGAAAGAAAGCGGGACTAAGACTAACTTTTTCACACGGAGGCATAAAGACTATAGAAATAAGACTGACAGAAGGACGCCTGTTTTACGAGACATGAAGACTCCAGGACACAGACTAAATAAATGACATTCTATTTAGGATACGTCCAACTTCCACCAATTTAGCTGACTTCATGACCGTGAATTTGAACAACGAGAACACTGGAGGTATCTCATTAAGTTTGTCTCTCCGTCTTTCAAAAGATTCAATACTTTGATTGACATCATGCCCAACTCCTAGACAGATTTCAAAATTTTACGACTACAGCGGACAATATGACTCTGGAGATAACATTCATCTACACTAGGACACTATCACCAGTTCCATGATATTCACTTTAACAGACATGAACACTCAAGAACTTTGACGAAATTTATGACTTTACATTAAGGATCTATTCCTCTATATTTATATTAAAGCCACATCTTCACAAACATCAAACTTAAATCGACATACAGGAGTCACATTACGAGGTTAGGATCACGGGACACATATAGATTACGGACTTACACCAACACGATGCGATATGGATTATAATAACGGGATACAATAAGGCATTAGATATAGAATAAGGAGCCAGATAAAGGGGATGTATGGATTCCATAAAATAAGCGGGCAGATATACATTAAGCACTTAGATCACGCGTTAGACTGGCGGAATAGAATAAGGACTAAGAATAAGAGGAAAGATATACATTAAGGGCATAGATCATGGATTAGAATAAAGGGTTAGATTGAGGGAATAGAATCAGCGGTTAGATTTAGGAATAGAATAAGGGATAGAATAAGGGGATAAATTAAGGGGTTAGAATAAGGTGTAGATTAAAAAGTTAGGTTAAATGGATAGATTAAGGTGATAGAATAAGCAGATTGAATAAAGGTTAGATTAAGCGATAGAATAAGGGGTTAGATTAAAGGGATAGAATCAGGGGATAGATTAAGGGAACAGAATAAGGGGATATATATAGATTAAGGGGTTAGAATAAGGAGTTAGATTAAGGGAATATATATAGATTAAGTAGTTAGAATAAGGGGATAGATTAAGGTGCTAGAATAATGGGTTAGATAAAGGGGATATATATAGATTTAGGGGTTAGATTAAGGGATAGAAGAAGGGGATATATATAGGTTAAGGAGTTAGAATAAGGGGTTAGATTAAGGGAATAGATTAAGGGGATATATAGAATAAGGGGATAGATTAAGAAATTAGAATAAGGGGTTATATTAAGGGGATAGAATAAGGAGACAGATTAAGGGGATAGATTAAAGGGATAGAATAAGGGGTTAGATGAAAGGGGCAGAATAAGGGGATAGATTAAGGAGACAGAATAAGGAGATATATAGATTAAGGATTTAGAATAAGGCATTAGAATAGGGGATCAGATTAAAAGGTTAGAATAAGGGGATAGAATAAGGGGTTAGATTAAGGGGATAGAATAGGGGGATGGATTAAGGGATAGAATAAGGAGATATATATAGATTAAGAATTTAGAATAAGGTATTAGAATAGGGGGTTAGATTAAGGGAATAGAATAAGGAATAGATTAAGGGGATAGAATAAGGAGCAAGATAAGGAGATATATATATATATAGATTAAGGAGTTACAATAAGGGCTTAGATTAAGGGAATAGATAGAGAGGAAAGTGTTAGAATAAGGCGACAGATATAGGTCAGTGAATCGTTTTGTAGGTAGCTGTCGAAAACCAATAGAAGATTTTTCGAGGTCTCGGAAACCCGAACTGGGTTTCTGGGGCTCTGAGGTTTTTTGATTGCTTTGGAACGTTTTCGAGAGCTCGGAAACCCTTTCTCGGAAACCTAGAAAGGGTTTCATATAGGAACAAACCCGGAAACCCTCTATAGGTTTTCGAGAGTACTTTTTTTTTAGAGTGTTGTACATTAATGAAATGAATAAGTAGACAAGACTATGGTATCAATATGGAAAAAAATATCTAAAGTTAATAATGTTTTATTTTTATTTTGAATAGAAAATATTCCTAGGATTATTTTTATTTCTTTTGCAAAATTGAAAAATAGAAATATAAGTCTTCGATAATTCAGATACTTAGATACAATTTGAAACATATAGGAAGAATAACAATCCAGAAACAAGTAGTGGTCCATATGTGCAAATAAACAGAACTGTACGCTATGTTGCATACCATGTTTCTTTTGTTTTTCTTTTTTATAATCAGATAGAGGGAAAATATCGTGAAGCAATCAAGTTAGAATGTTAGCTTGCCTTTTCTTTATTGGAAAAACACGAAGTATATATAGGAAGGGAAAATTGGACTAGTCAGGGAAGAAGTTGAGTTTCTTCGTCTGATTGAAAATGAACAACAAGTACAGTTACAACAAAAGACGTCAGTGAAGAAGAATAGGTCAGACGGGTAAGAACATATAGTAACAACTGAAGAAAAAGAAATATGAAATCATCAATATATCCTAACACCTCCTTCCCTACAACAGATGAGCGCATTATCTGCTCATCGACCAAAAAAAGCTTATGAGAAGATAAACAACAAAACAAAAGAAAACAAAACTTGCACAAATGTAAGGAAGATAAAACGCACGAAGAAAAATGAAACCGCCCAATAGAGAAACAAAATGTGTTCATCCATATTCGACGATCGATTCGTGTTGATATTGTAAGTTCTGACATTCGTAATAAACATGAATGAATCATAAACTGCCACCTGTAAGTAATGATTCCATGAAGATCCATGAATATTCTCATCGAAAGCAAAATAATTCGATGATCATAGTAGAATTAGTGAAGAAAAAAAAAATCGATCGCATACAAGTATGATAAGGAATAGAAAAGACTTGTTGACGACCAGTTAAAACTGTGATTTCAGATATAACGAATAAACCAGAATAAAAACCATGTGTGAAACCATTTATTGCCCGTCCCATATCTATGCCAGACGACATTAATAAAAATTAGAAGTCGACTCGCATGGTAAGAATTGGGTAGTTCAAAATCCATAATATATGTTTGTGATGAACCACGGTTGATCCTATAACAAGATTCGCCGTAGATTGTAGTTGACTCTTTGTGTGTTGAATCATTAAGATCATAAGAATAAGGATAGCGTTATTTGTTTGTATATGACGTTGATTATTATCATGTTTATTTGTTGTCACTGTTGTTGATAAAGTTTGTTTGCTTGATTCGATGGTCGATTCAAATATATGTCGAGACGATGAAAGATATTGACCAAAATATTGAATGTTATTAAGTAATTGACTTCCATCACGTTTTGATTGAAGACGTTCATCTAATTGTGAAAATGTAGAATCATTTCTTCCTTTAGTTTCATCAAGTTCTGTGCGCAATGCATCGATTTGAATATGTTTTTCTGCAAGTTTACTATATAGAGATTCTTCATATTGATGTTGTTCGGATATTTTTTCTTGTTCAAGTCGTTCAATTTCTTGCCTAAATTTATTCTTTTGAGATTGATATTGAATTTGTAAATGATCAATTTGTTTTTTATATTCTTCAATTTCTTTAGTTAATTGTTGTTGTAAATCATTATATTCATGTTCTTTTTGTTGATTTAAATCAATTGTTTGTTTTAATTGATAGATTTCTTTTTCAAATTGTTCATTATCAGTTTCAAGTTGTGCAATGCGACGTTTATATTGATCGATTTCATGTAAATATGATGTTTGACTTTCATTTAATTGTTCATGAAGTATTTCTTCGATACGTTTTAAGTCTTTTTCCACATTTGGAAGAGACTGTGCTAATTGTTCATTATATCAAATTAAAGCTTCTTTTTCTTTTTGGGCTTCTTTAGCTAATAATTCATTACGATGTGCTTGTTTTTCAAAATTAGCATTATCAATTGATAATTTTTTAATTTGTTCACATAATACTTGGTTTTTAACATTTGTTGAAGCTCCAGTATTAATTAAATGAATATTTTCTTCTGTAAGACGTTTTAATTGTAATTCAAGTGTTTGAATATATTCTTGTTGTTGAAGTTGATTTACTTGTGTTGGTTCATGTTTATGTTGAACAGAATGTAATTGAGCATGAAGAATTTGAGCTGATTCCGTTTTATTTTTATTACGTTGACGAGCTTTGGATGATGGTTCAACAACTGATTGTTGTGGATTTAACTGTGTTGAATCTTCTTTATTGGAACATCTAGGACAAATGAATGTTTCTAATTGCAGCTGGATCTTCTCCTCAATTGCTGCATGTACACAGCTAATACAAATTGTATGCGAATATGCGGTAATTGTATAATGATACCTGTATATACAATCAAAACAAGACGTGTTTGATTGATCGATCCGGTGAGTCATACTGCTTTGGTGATACATTCGACGATTGACGTAATTTTCTTTTTTTCTAAATGCTTCTTCGTCTTCTTCTTCAATGGTAAAAGTGAAGAAATCTGGACACGGCACCAAATGTTGATTAATAATAAGGCTATTGTCGGGTCCGTTAGTTTGTCGAAGATTGTAAGTCGATAAACTTGGCTAGTGCACCAGTTAGAATGTTAGCTTGCCTTTTCTTTATTGGAAAAACACGAAGTATATATAGGAAGGGAAAATTGGACT